AAAACAAACCATGACAACCAAAACGACACTGGGGTACATTTTAAATACTATTTATACTAAGATTCTCCTAGAAGACAGACATTATCAAAAGCTTGGAGAAAACGGGTCAGCTTCAACACCTGAAAGAATGTTTGATTCTCATGGGGATAATAACCTTGTAGGTTCCCAAGTAAAACCAAATATACTAGTCTCAATTATAGAAAGCAATTCCATCGACAAACACTAAAAGCTGCTGGGTCAGGAGGCCCGGCCACGAAGGGGCCCAGCTGCCCCGCTGCCGCGCTGCCCCTGGAGGCTCTGGGTCCCAGCATCTTCAGGGCTTGACCTCACTGGGTCCTGCGCCCCGGCACCTTTACCTGCAGCTGCAGCATCGAGGCACCACCTTGGCCAGCCCCTCGGTCAGTCACAGAGCCAGCTCCTGCTGCGGCTCCAATGCAGACGTCAACGCCCGGCCTCCCCAGCCCACCGCACTCCTGGCCGGCTGTCCACAGATGGTGTGCAGACGGCCCCTGCTCACAGCGCGGGCTGCCCATCCCTGCCTCGCCTTCTTCACCCCACACCCCCTCGCTCATGCCACACCTGGGGACTTGCAGCTGTCCCGCCCTCGGCCCCCACTTTCCTAAGCAGAGCCCAAGGCCTAGGACGACCTCTAAGCCTCCGGCCGCCCCCATCCGTGGGGTCCCTGACTCCAGCTGGCTGAGTGGTCAGGAGCCTGCCAGCCCTTAGGGAATGCGGGCCCTCCACCCGCACCGCTGCTCCCCAGCCCAGCACGAGGACCGACACAGAAAACACAGCTGGCTGACGACCACGCCCCAGGCCACTGGTAGGAAAGGCGACCTCTGCAGGGAAGGCTGGCAATTCTCCCCAAGGTGAGGGTGTATCGACAAGTTGGGATACTTTTCTACCAAAGACTGAATGAAGCTTTAGTCCTTAGAGAGCTAAACTCTTATTAGAAGTTTTTTTTAATCGCTTCATTCTTCCATAGTCCAAGACCGTACCCTAAAGAGCTTCCCCTGATGCCCCAAAAGGCAAGAACTCAGCCATCTACCAAAGGCCCCCACTGTGAAGAAAGGCTGCAGTCCGGGGCGCCCTTTAAACGGGAAAAGCTCTGCCAGGAAGAACTGGGCCAGAAGCGGGGTCTCTGGCTGCAAGTGACAGCAAAAGCATCACGAAATGAGAAACTGATGCCCCACGTTTGGTCTGTTTATCGAGAGAGGAAATAAAATCGGCCGGCTGGAAGGAATGGCCAGGGAGAGCCAGTCTGAGGGCAGAGGACTGTGTCACAGGGCAGCGGCCACTGGAAGGCAGCTGAGAAGTCCCGCTTTGCCCCGCTCCAGAGCGGGCCGGGCCATTGGCCTCCTCCTGGAGCTGACCGGCCCTGCTCGCCCCCGTCACTCGCTCTCTGCCATCTCAGCCTCAGCTGAGATGTACCTGTAGCCATACACTCGGAACTGGAAACGGTCTTACAGATTATCCAGATCAAATAAAACCTTTACTAATGAAGAAACAGGCGCCCCACAGGCCAAGTGACATGCAGAGGAGACAAGGGACAGCTCTCCTCCCTCCCAAAGTGAACAGTCACATCCACCCCATGGCATGGGTCTCCACTCCTAGGAAGTCCTCCCCTGGCAACTGCCAAGCTACTGCCCTGGTCCCGTCACATGGCAGGAGGACAGAGACCCACCCAGGCCACTAGCCCCATGGCTAGCAAGGTGCCCTAACGAGGCACCCACAGGTGGTACAGGAAAGGCCCAAGGTAGACGCCAGGAGGCAGGAACTGCCATGTGCTACGTATGTATCTGATCTCTTGTAGGGGAGCAGGCACCAGAGCAGCACCCCAAGGACCAGCGCGTGTGGTCGGGGCATGAGTTCAGTGCCCGCTGAGGGCCATGGCCCAAGCCCCCATGAGCCAGAATGAGCTCATGGGGGCTTGGGCCATGAGCTCATTCCGGCTCAAGAGGGAATTGAAGAGGGAATGAGCGGAGAGTCAGGTTCGGACACAGCAAGTGCCAGGAAAGGCAGCCAATTTCTCCAAGTACCAGTTTGGAGTGAGTTTACAGGTCCAAAAGTGCAGTCTCGCTGTTCCGACTGCTGACACAGCACCGAAGTTCCACGCCTATCGTACGGTTCCTGAGAAATGTGCTTAAACTACGCTGAATGGGTTTTATTTGTTTTAACAACTGTGATCTTTTATTCAATGACAGAACACTATCCTTTCACAGGGAGTTGGTCACGAATCCTCCTTATGAATCACTGTTTGAGAAAGCCCAATCTTCCAGGAAGCCCGAAACCTCCCCAATAAAGCTCTCCAAACACGAGCTCTTCGGCCAGCCCAATAATCAGGAACCAGAACGCAGTGTGAACGCCCATGGGTTTTCGCTGACTGGCAGAGGACGGAACGGGGAGCCTGTGCTAATGACGCAAAGGACAAGTGAGGTGCGGGC